CCGGAGAGCTGAATCGCTCTGTAAGTCACCTGGATTATGTGCAGTGCTGTAGCACCTGGAACAAAAGCTTCTGTGTGGCAGTGTGTGACAGCACAGTCAAAGGGAGGGAAGCAGGAGGTGATGAGTGCAGATCCCGTGTTTGCTCAGATGGCTGCAGTGAGTGGGGGACATTCCTGGCAAACGGAGCATTTTGGGGCCACAAGGATAAGGGCAGAAGAAGCAGAGAGGCTGAGCAGTGCTGCAGCAGACACACATCCCTTTTAGCCACAAATCACAGAAACACTCTGTCTGCACTCAGGATGAATTTCACAGATATACTGTTCACCCAGCAGTGCAGCCCATACCCCACTGCCTCCTCTACCTGAGCGCACACTGCCCTGGCTCCCATGAATAGGCTCTGAAATAGAGCAGCCCAAGTTACTATGAGGGCATCCTGAGGTCCTGACAGCACTTTGCCAATTCACTGACCTCCATTATTTCTGAATCATGGGAAGTTACACCCAAAATCAGCCTAAAAAGTTGACTGATTTCCCTGTAACCTCCAATCTGACCTGCAGACCCTCACCCACCATCATACAAGGTTTTCCCCACCTCTCCACCATGAAACCATTCCTCCACCCTCCTCTCCCCCTGCCCAGTTAATGCTGAAAGCCAGGAAAGAAAGCATAGCAAATTGAAATAAATGAGTGAGAGAAGGAAGTGGGAGGCAGGAGGGGGAGGCGAGGAGCGAGCTGCAAGGTTCTGTCACTTCAGGGGTCTCGAGGGGAACAGGGGGTGGCAGCAAGGCCAAAGCCTGATCCTCAGTGATGTCGGGAGCTGCGTAGCCTGTGACCTTCAGAGCACTTAGCACTGATGAGGAGCATCTCAGTGATCAGAAAGGGGCAGGAAGGGCACACAAGTGTGTGGGAGTGATGTGGGTAGGGGGGCTGCCTCTGTAAGATGGTGAGGACAAGGGGACTGGCACCACTGCAGCTCCCTTGGAGCATCCTGCTCTTCCCAACCCCACCCTTTGGGCTCCTCAGAGAGATGCCAGCCAAGGGCCCATAGAGGGCACTGATTTGTCAACAAACCAGTGAGAAATTACACGCTTGGGTAAAAAAAAGACAGGCACAAAGGGCCCGGCATCCTTCTGCAGCTTCTGTAGGCAGGCTATTTCTGAGTTAATGATGGACTGCTTCTTTTTTTACTTCTCTGGTCTCTCTCGGAAATGCAAACATCGTGAGGAGGTGGGAGAGGTGGCTTCCCCTTCCCATTTGCTCAAGGAGCAGATGGCCCCACAGCTGATTTCTCCTTGCTTCCCTCTGTCAGTAGAAGATACGCAACCTAGCTCTGAGAATACCACTTCTTGGCAAAGATGTTCCTGAAAAATAGCAGGGAAATTCCCAGTACTGTGATATCATGCTTCTCCATCCTGCTTTTTTTAGTTCTTTTATTCTACTCACAGAAGCAAGGTGTACAGCTACAGCTGGGTTCAGTTACTGAGACAGGCAGAGCTCAGTCGATACCTGGCACAGGGAAAGCCCAAGCGGAAGGCTGCAGACCCCTCATCAGGTCAGCATCCCTTGGGGCAGCTCAGTGGTCAAAACCCAAACTCACCATGGATCCATAGCATGTTTGTGGAATTGTGAAGAAGAAAAAAGTCCTTCATTGACCTCCCTTTCCTCTCCTTCCAGCTCCCAGCTCATCCTGTTCTTCCTATGCCAGAGAGAAGGCCCATTACCGGCAGCTCTGCTGCAATGTCTCTTTAAAAGAAGTGTCAAGAATAAAGATTTACCTCCAGGTTTTGGAAGACAATTATTGCACGTTAATTAAATACGAAATGACACTTAAGAGCATATCCATTGCCTTAACAGCGACTCTCTGCAATAATAATAATACTTAGCACTTACATAGCTCTCTCCATCTATATAGTGCTTTACAAACATTAACTAATGAATCCTCACAACCTCTGTGTGAAGCTAAAGAGGCTGCTGACATGATGGGGAGGGGGAAATAGGGATGTATCATGGGAATAACCTCCTCTTGGCCTGCTGATGCTGCTGCTTTCCAGGCTTCTATGCTATACATTCTCTCTCCTTTCTGCCAGCCTTCCCTTAATCATGCTTCTCTCTGGCACCATGCAGTGGCACATTGCATGGTGGACATCGGCAGCACAGTGAGGTGGTACCAACAATCACTGCTGCAGAAAAGGCTGATGTTCCCCTGGATATGTCTGCAGCTGGAGCTCTTTGGATGGGAAATACAGTTCTGGCTTTGGATATAAACATCTGTAAAATGAGCCCAGAATATTATTTTGAGCTGAAAGACCATCTCGCCTGACTGGTGTGCCTCCATAGGAGCAGGCATTCCACTGGTAGATGTGCTCACCTTGCTCATTCTGAGTTCTCTATGTGCTGGGTAATCTTTCAAGACCACTGCTTGACCTGGAGGAGGCAACAGATGCTCCTCCAAGTCTGTGTTTACTATTGCATCTACATTTTCCTCAGTGCAGCTGCCTGTGATTGTACAGTCTCTTTGCTGGAAGAATCTGGAGAGAGATAGGAAACAAGCTTTATTCTCTGAACAAGGACAAAAGACCATGACTATCCACAGATTCCATCACCATGTTCTGATTCCCATTTTCAACACTTTACTTCCCCTATTTCCCTCAGCAGGCCTGGTTCTGCTCTGGTTTTCAGGCAGCAAAGCCCAGCTTGGCCCATTTTTCCAGTGCTTTTCCAGTTTTTCCCCCAGGAAGCATTGATGGGGCACTATGTCCGTGCCATCTTCCACATAGAATCATAAAGGCTGGAAAAGACCATAAAATCAATTCCAACTATTAACCCATCACCAACATGCCCTTTAACCCATGTCACTCAGCCATAATCCAGAAGACATGAGAAGAAAAGAAGAACAGCAGCAATGTGCGATCAGTGCTGCTCAGGGAGAAGAAAATAGTTGTCTGTCCCTTTTCATGTAGGGCTTTCTGCCCAATCTGCTTCCAGACTCCTTTTTCCCAAGCTCATTCCTCTTTAAAAGGTCATAAATATTCAAAATGTACTTGCTTAGATTAACAGCTATGCACTAACAGCTTCAGCACCTACAAAGACAATGCCTGTGCATATCAGCTTAGCAGTTGTCAAAATGCATAGCTTGTAACATTTAAGGCTGGTTTGGAAGGAGGTCTCAAGGCTACACTCTACAAAACACCCTGCATTGGCCAAGGGGGAAAATAGACAACGTGACCTAGAAAATCTTGTCATCTTCAAAGTTTCCCAGTTCTGTTGCTATTTATTTAGCACTGCAAGCCCACCAGATCTGTTTCCAAGTCATTGAGGGTTGTTTTTATCTTCCAGAAATGTCTCAAGCAAGCCTCCGAGTTTGAACATGCTAATATTTTCAGACATAGTCAAGTCAGCACCAGTGATTTCAGCTGTGTTCCAAGATAACTCCCTGGTGGGCTTCTGGGGGTTGCATTCAGATAGGAATGCTTCACTCTGTAGCTTGGTGCAATATCAAAGATTGCCTCTGATGTTAAAGAGAATCTAAATCTTTCTGCATATATCACAGTTATCTTGTCTTTCTGCATTGAAAGGCCCTTGAGAATTGAGTAGGAAAATATATATAGTGTGTGAGAAGTCACCTGTCTAGCCCTAAATGTACAGACTGATGGAAGCTAACCTCAAATAATCTATTTATGCCTCACTCCTTCCTGTTTCAAAAATTGCCTTCCCCTGCTTTTACTTTGTTTTTCAAACCCAGCCCCAGACCTCAGGGGCTTTTGCAAGATCAGGAGATACGAGTAATACCGGCACCTTCTTTTAGTCACAGGCAAGTGACAAGGTTGGATGCATTTGAGTGCAGGTCTCAATAATGGAACTTCTTTGGAGGTTCCCCATGAAATGCCTTCATGTAGAATCATAGAATGTCTCGAGTTGGAGGGGACCCAGAAGGGTCATTGTGTCCAACTCCTGAAGAATCATGGAGGGCATGACCCTGAGACACCTGCCCCATCCACGGAGGAGGACTGCCTAGCATGTACCTGTTGATCTGCACCTGTACAAGATAGCAGCAAAACACATTTGATCCAATTCATCCAGGGCTCTTCTTTCAAACCTCATGGGCTTTCTCCAGCTCTGTGCCCAGGCTGGTTGAAAACAGCAGCTCTCCCACCTCATTCTCAACCTCAACGCCTACATAGTCTGGAGCTGGGCTCGTTCTCCTCCTTCACAAGTTAACAAATCGGCCGTTCCCTGAGAGCGGATAATTTCTTCTTAATGGTAGCCATTTCTCAGCACGTACTTTGGCTGCCAGCTTTTGAAGGTAATTGCATTGTTATTTAGGAAAGTCAAAGGTGCATTCTTGCAGAGAGGCTCTGGCTGTGAGCAGGCATGCAGAGGGCTGGTCAGGAGGTGGCTTGGCGCTCTCTGTTACAGCAAGGTGTCACTGCAGGCAGCCAGGAGACAGGGATGGATGTGCATCTCCTTCCCGCTTCCTTTTCCTCCCCAGAGATGAATCAGTAGAAACTGTTTGCTGTAAAGTCAAGATGGGCATTCCAGTGCTAGAAATACACGACACAAAATGTTCCTTTTCTGATAAGAAAGTGATGTCACGGATGACCTTATTAAAAAAGGCAAAAACACTTGTTTACTTAAAGCACTTGTTCAAAGAGAGCAAGGAAAAAATGTGGCTTTAGGATATTTTTCCTTCTCCTTTCTCTTTCCTTCTAAATGAGATTGAAATACAGTTTCACATTTGCAAGGCCCAATGCCCTTTCTGCCAAGAAATCCATTGACAGTCCAATCAACAGACATGTTCTGGTTACAGGAATCAGGCATCAGTCAAACGCCTGAAAGCCAGATCCAGCAAGTGCAGCAGATAATAGTATTGAAAACAGCCGGTGGGGGAGATGAAAAAGTAATTGGAGTATAGGTAAGAGCTGGTATAAGCAGGATGGATCGGCATATTGCTGACATGAGGAAGGGAGGAGGCAGAAGGAGAGAGCTAATGAGAGGGGTCGTTGGAATGATAGAAATTGCTCGATGTGCCAGGCCTTTGTTTTTTGAGAACTGAGAAAAGGATTTATCTGCGCAGAGGGCAGTCCATCCCATGGGATTTGGATGCCAATGACACCACAAGAGCTGGTTCAGCCTGGGGTTTTGCAGGATAGGTGTACAGTGAAAGGCTATGTGGCACTCATGGGTAAGATGATGGGGTTGGACTGGCTGTGCAAATGCCCATGGAGACAGCTGGAGGTGTTTTCAGCAGGGATTGGAGTGGGGTTAGCAGACTTACCACAAGGCAAAGGGCTTTGGGCAGCCCCATGCAGTGGGGGCTGTGACCCCCCAGGGGGACTCATTACTGGGAGCAAAGCAGTGCTGGGCTCTGCGTGCTCGTGGCTGCATCGCTAAACACCATCGTTTCAATCTCGGCAAGCTCTAAAATTTGCTGATTTCATCCTGAATGTAAAAATCTAGAGAAGACAGGAGTGAAAATGAACACAATAGAATTTGATTGTATGGACTGCATCTCCTAATATATTCCAGAGCCCTCGCTACTAAAATACCCAGGCTCTGATTAGAGCAGTGAGCACAGGACAATTACTCACTTCCTATGGGTAACATGACGAGCAAATTACCTGAATTCCTTGTAAATCTGTAACCCTCTTCTGGGACTCAGCACTATGGAAATTGCAGAAAGGGGCTGTTGATCTCATATGCTGTGGTATGCACTCCCTCACATACCGGCTTGGGTGGGTTCTCTGTACATTTCCCTGCCCTGTCTGGCTCATTTCTGCATCTCCTTAGATTCACCTTCTCTGCCCCATTGCCCCAGGCTTTCAGCTCCATTTCCTCAGCATTTCTGGGAGCTGCTCACTCCTGGGCTGGGGCTGGTGGGGGAGACAGGGAAAGAATTGAACACTATGTAAAGACAGCACAAAATATTCCAAAGTAATTCAGATCCGACTTGAGCAAGTGATAAATGAGAGCAGCATGGCAGTGACAGGTCAATCAAATATTTATAGAACTTCATCCATTAGCATTGCGGCAGCAGAAGGAGGCAATGAAGTCAGGGTGCTCACAGACCTGCGATGGGAGCGGATGCTCATCAGCTTCCCCAAAATCTGCCTATGTGCTTCTGTCTTCTCTCTTGTCCTGGAGGGCACGGGAGAAGACGAGTCAGTGGGAAGAGCTAAAAGGGTGCTGGGATTATGCAGCACTGCATTTTAGAATAAATTCCTCTGATCTCCTTGGGTGGATTAATATATTTGCATACTGGCAAAGAGATCCTTGCACCAAAACAATGAGAAAGCAAAGTGCTGTGTGTAGGTGTACATGTGTGTGTGTGTGTGTGTGTGTGTGTGTGTGTGTACATGCTGGCAAAGGGCACCAGGTTTTGCAGTTCTCTGGAAAAGTAGTTGTTACAATCAGTGAAATGCCAGAAAAGGTTAAAGCACAACTTCAAACCACCCAAGGAACCTTAAGGAGAGAGCAGAGTGGAATCGGAAAGCCTATTTTTAGGATCACATGTTATGATTTGATTAATATTTTAGGAGGCAGCTATCATATGCTAAGAAGCTGACGGATTATTAGTAGCATCCTAATGTGCCTACTGTCAGGGTTGTAATGAGGGGATCCCAGCCAAATTTCTGCCTCCTCACTTTTCATCAGTCCCATAAGCTGGGGGTGCAGAGCTGGTGGGGGGAGAGACCACCCTGGGGCTCCAAGTAGTAAAATAAGAGCATGACTTTAAGCTCAAGAAGGATGTGAAGGACATGGCTAGTGGGCATGGCTGTGATGGGTTGATGGTTGGACTTGGTGATCTTACTGGTCTATGATTCCATGATTCCACGATTTGGTGATTGCACTGGAGACTCTCTTCAGCCTGTTGATAGCCTGATAAGCCTAGTCACATAAATGTATGTCATGCATCCCTTCTCAAGGTTCACATTTCCTCTGACAATTTGGGCTTCACTATGAGTGCTCTACACTTACAGACAGCGCTTAATTTGTGCTGGATCTGGGACTCACCTGATACACTTTCTGATACTATTTGTTCAGCTCCCGTGAATTCAGGAGGAATCTGGGGAGGGAAATGAGCTCTTTCTTCTTCATTCAGTGCTCTCTGACAAAGTTTCATTCATCTGCCCTGGGAGCAGTTGGGGTGCTGTGTATCAGAGGCAACCATTCAGCCAGGGGTGAAGCAGGGACGGCACTTGCAAACAGCCCATTTGCTGGAAATTGATGATCCAAAGTTACACGGGGGATTTGTATGAATGGAAGGAAAGACAGACAGTAATTGGGATCGGTGGGTGAAGTGTCAGCAAACAGAAGAAAGGGATACTGTGGTGACAGTGATAAATGCTAGCAGCTTTTGGTCTCATCTGGAGGAGCGAATTGGAGTGAAGACTTTGTAAGAGAAGGAAGGAATGAAAAGACAGCAGTCTGATGGATGTTACAGAGAAAAAGGTCTCAGAAAACAAATATTCAGCAGAGTATTTTTAGGGGATGATCGGAGGCAAAGCACAAGGGTCCTTCCCCAAGACTGAAAGGTTACTGTTTTTCACACCCCTGGGAATAAGCCAGCAGGTTGGAAGGGGGATCCTCTTGCCAGGCCCTCCATCCCCGTGCTGAGACATCTCCCAACCCACCCTCATCCTCTGGCAGCCTACCCATGGGATCAGATGCCTAAGAACCCCAGCTGGGTGTCCAGGACCGAGCAACAAGGCATCCCACCAGCGTGAGCTCCTGGCAGGTCCTTGCCTGCTGACCACTTAGGGCTGCTGTATTTTTGTCAGACATCCCACCAGATACAACTCAGAGGGAAATTTTCCTTCAAACAATGCAGAGCAATAACAAGGTGTCATTTTCAGCATCATTTCTCTGACCCTTACCACCGTTCTGAAACACGTCTCAGACAGAAATGGCATCTTAACACTGCTGATTTTAGAAACGTTTTGCTTTGGAGGAAGGACTCAGCACAGAGGTGATTATCCCTCTCCTTCTGGCAGGTTCAGGACTCTAGCAGCTAGCAGGGAATGTCAGAGATGAACAGCATGTAAAAGAGCTCCAGCAAATGCTCCGTCCCAGAGCACCAGGACGTGCCTCCATCCTGCTCATTCAGACTGCTGAGGATCTTTGCCCCTTACAAGAGAAAAGCTCCTGGCTGAGGTAGCACAGACATCCATCTAACATGCCCAGAGACAGCAGCTCAGTGACAGGGAGAGGGACTGATTCTGCTGTCAGCAGTGCCAGCAGAGTCAATGGGAGTCGATGTTTACTTCTGTTGTGCTGCCTCATGCAGACACTGATAAATGTTATGAATTTTAAAAATTGAGATTCACATTAGTTTCCTTTAACTCATTTTAGATTTTCTGCTTAGCTTTATTAAGTGGCTTTAAAAGCAGTTGAGCTGCTCGCAGCACCTCAACAACCCAACCCAGAGTGCTTGAGGGGAGCTGAAGGCGCTGGGGATCATAGAATCACAGAATCATAAAGGCTGGAAAAGATCTCTAGGATCATCCAGCCCAAACCCAACCCACCCCCACCATGCCTGCTGACCACATCCCTCAGTGCAACATCTCCACAGCTCCTGAACACCTCCAGGGATGGTGACTCCACCACTCCCTGTGCAGCAGTGCCAGTGCATCAACACTCTTTCAGAGAAGAACTTTTTCCTAATACCCAACCTGAACCTCCTCTGGTGCAATCTGAGGCCATCGCTTCTCATCCTGTCACTGTTAGCCAGGAGAAGAGGTTGACACTCACCTCACCACAGCCTCCTTTCAGGGCATTGTAGAGAGCAATAAGGTCTCCCCTGAGCTTCTTCTTCTCCAGACTGAACGACACCAATTCCCTCTGCCACTCTCCACAAGACTTGTGCTCCAGACTATTCACAGCTTCGTTGCCCCTCTCTGGGCACATTCCAGGGCCTCAAAGTCTTTCTTTAATCTTCCCACTTCATTTTGGAGGGATGCACTGCCAGGCATCATGCAAAGCTGAAAATCAAGAGGTATATCTGATCACCTCAAATACAGATGGAGGAACATTAATGCCAATGTTTTGTTTTCTGTGTCCAGAAGGATCATACAGGCAGACATGTCTGGGCACTCCCACCCAGCAGATCTCAGGCTGATCTCCTACACATTACTGTAAATTGAGTTCAGCCCCAGTGCTGTGAACTCAGCATCTTCCTGACTTTAAGAGGCCTGATCAAGCTTCCTCTGAATCATAGAGAAGATGCCAACTAATTTTGGGATCAGTCCCTGCAGGCGCTGCTGTAATATCCATAAGCTGCAGTAAAACAATCCATATCTCTTCTGTTCCACCCCAAACTCTGCTTACCACCTGCCATTTCATTTTGCATGACACAATTATCATTTTTAATAATGCCACCGCATTTTCTTGGCTATAAAGAGCCTCTGGAGACCCAGTCTGAAAGAAAAGCTTCCCCATCTCCTCTTCTCCATGCCTGCAGGTGTATCTGTATCATAGCAAGCCCTTCCTGAGCATCTCTTCAAAGACACTCACAGCTTCGTCTCCTGCAATCTAGATGCACTTTTGACATTGCTAAATAATTATGCAATTACACAGTAAACTGGTGGTGGGAGATATGTGAGTGGCAAAGCTCTGTTCTGGTGATTAAAAACAGCAATCCCACCTATTGTGCACTGCAGCAGCAAAGCCCTCTCAGATGCCTGAAAACTGAAGCAAGGGAAAACTGGACCTGATATGGTCAGCAGAGTAATGTTGATTTGTGGGAGATAGAGACTTACTCACTCAGGTTTATTTTCAAAGAGTTGACACCGCTTGTCTGCCAGGGACTGGGAGAGAGATAAAAGCTGGAGCTGCTCTAAGCAACCAATGGCAACCCAGTGCTGCAAGATGGGGATTTGCCTCAAGGGACTTAACCTTCTTCCCCTATTGGCATTTTATTTTTTGTCCATCGATTATAACGAGATGGGAGAGATGGAAAACTCATGTAATTCTCTGTCCTTAGGGCTGTGGCCTGGGCAGTAAGTGCTATCTAATTTAATAAGGATACATTGCAGGCTGGTCCATTTGGGCTCTCCTTTGGGAGCCTTGTTGGAATGAGAAGCACAGAAATGAATTAAAACTCCCTTCTTTTGAACAGTGATCCACAGTTTCCCAAGAGTTGGGTGATGCCTGGTGACCACAGACCCACCTCAGAAGGGCTCGTGACCCTTTGTGGGCAGAAAGAGGCAGAGCTGGCCAAAGCCAACGGCTGTCTCAAGAGCCATTTTGGGTGCAGCTGTGCCAGCCTCCCCTCCACCCCTGTTCTTCACCACCCATTACATTTCCTATTGGGATAAGAGAAGGGTGCGGGCTGCAGCAGAGGGCTGATGTCCAGGTAGCAGTGGCAGGTGGGAAATAGATCCATTACAACCCAAGATGAGGCATCTTCCCATCCAAATCACCTAACTCGTGCAAATAGCCTGAGAACACTGTTTAGATAGGAGATATTATTCAGATGGCATATTAAACTTATTTTTCCTTGAATTTAATTTTAATTAATTGTGCTGGCAAGGGTGAGCTGAAATGGCCTCTGTTCTTAATTTTTTCTCCCCACAGTGGATGTCCTTAAACTCCTTTCTATAATGATATGATTGCAGCTTGCAAAAAGCCAGTCTGGATTTATTATTCTGCTTCTTCCCTTGTCCTCTCTAATCCTAGAGAGAACATTGCAGTGACTGCTGGTTAGAAAATTAGTTAAGTGAACTGTATACTGTATTCTCTGCCTGTATCGCTCCTTATTAGGGAGAAAAGATAATATAGTTGCCCCTCTCCCTTCTGCTCACGCTGCATTTCATCTACAGCTCATGTAGGGAACATTTTGGCTGACTACTGCAGCCTGTTTGCCAAATGATGCCCATCCTGAAGTTGAGAGCCCTCAAGTTAACTCTAGACTTTTGGTGAAAAGGGAAACAAGTGGTATCACATCTGCAGAGCAAGATGGTGGAGAGAGACCTGCCACTGATGCTTTGATGCTAAAGAAACAAACATACTGGAGTCAGTTCTGCACCAGGCAAGTGACAAGCTATCACCTGTCCCATGTATAAGCAGTGCTTCTCCAGGCAGTATTTGCAACACAGCACTGCAATTCCGTTTGGGCCCCTGCAGTTGAAGTCCTCTAGCCAAATGCTTCCAATTTGTTGGGTCCCAAAGCAGAGTGGTGCCACGGTGGTGAGCTCCACCCCATGTAGGCAGTACAGCCTGGCAGCATGATTTCTTGTCATCAGGGTACTGCCCACCATGGGGACCCCGCCGTTCAGGTTGTTCATGCATCGTGTTTGGAGATCAAAAATGTGAGAGGGCTGCAAATGGAGCCACGTACAAGGTAGCTGACCTCTTCAGCAAAGTGTGGACGAGACACCCTACAGCCTGTTTAAAAATATTGTCAAAATTAAACTGTATGTTTAGCGGGTAGAAAGCCAGAAATGTCCTTGTAAAACATTATTGCTATGCAGTTAATAGTGGGTTTTGCTTGTCCATACGGACCAGTTAAGGGAAGGAATTTTCCCGAACTAAGCCAATTTATTACACAGGGGCCATTTTAAAAGAATATCTGACAAAGGGATAGATGAGCCTGTTATGAGAATAAACTCCCAGAGAACTAAAAGTACAGCCCCAAGGAAGGCCAACTTGATAAGAATGGAGAGCTATTAAATGAAGATACTCTTTGTGTTCCAAATCCAAATATATCTCATGCAAGAGTAGAGCTTTCTAAAACAAATCCCTGTGACAGATGAAGGATTTAGGCACAGCCAGGTTGCCTGTTTAATGATTCCCAGCATTTACCCCACTGAGGGAGGAGGACCTAAACACTGCTGTTCAGAACCTTTTTCATGTGGATTAGAGCAGCCACAAATGACAGAAAACTAATTTTGCCTTGTTACCTCCTTCACAGCTCATCTGTCCTACTTTTTAGTTATAAAGGAATGAGTAATTCAAAAAAAAAAAAAAAAAAAAAAAAAAAAAAAAAAGAGAAAGCTTCAATATTTATAGATGCTCTGGTCTCTTTTGGGCTCAATGAATATATGTGAGCCATGAGCTTAATTGCATATTTTAGGCACATATGTAATTCTTCAAATGTATCAGGAAAACCTTGCCTTGGAGGCAAGGAAGGTGGCTCAAAATAAAGTCATGCATTCTTTCCTGCAGTAGGCCACATT